AAAGAGGGACTAAGTGGTGAGGATTCATGGGACGGCCAGAAGGACTTGAGCTCAGGGCTCTTGTGACATAGAAGATTTAGTGAGCTTTTTACTAATACTGTCAGTGAATAAAGTTGATGATAAAGAACTTTAAGAATATGCAGTTTTCTCTACAGATATGAATTGAGTAGCAATTATCCTCAAGTGATATCATTGCTAGTTTAATTTAAGTAGTTTAGACTATCTGCCAAAGTTGAAAGAAAATTATAAGATTACAAGTACTTGCATTCAGAAATACATTGGGGTGCCCCAAAATGACACAAGGCACAAATTTACCTTTGACTTTGCACAGGAAGATTTAAATACTGTAAGATCTAGAGGAGTGAGGGCCTTGCATGTCTCCCAAGAGCTCCATCTTAGCACAGTGCCTTGAACTTGGTGGATTTTTAATAGTTGCATGAATTTAATATAAAGACATCCTTCAGTATTGACCTCATAGAGATATTATAAATGACACTCCAGGGTACCTACAGAAGGTGATCTTCATTGTCCAGGGAAGGTGTTAAGGCACTGGTAAAGTCCCAATTGCATCGAGTATCTTCTCTGACCCCAGCAACCAAGGTATGTAAACCTCGATTCTTGATCCTATAGAACTTACCAGGAAGATGAGAGTATTCACTGGGGGAAAATTAGAAAATAAAGACATATCCAAGGCAGAAATACTTGAAGGGAGTATAGTGGGTTTCTTTGCTGTTGCTTTTTCTCTCATTCCTCTTTTCCTTAGGAAATTAATCTGTCCTATTTTCATCTGTGATCACTACTGATGACTCAAGTTGATATCTGTTCTGGATTTCATATCCAGACACTGAGCAGTTTCTCATCATCCGAACTTCATGTCTCTAAAATCAAACTATGTCTTTCCTAATCAGATTAAATCTCTTTTTCTCTTCTGTCTAGTATAGCAATAGCTGCACCCTTCTTCTAATCACCCAGGCTCAAATTCATTGACTATTTCTGTGTATCCGCATGTCCTTATGTTTATCAGTTTCCATGGCTGCTCTTTTCTGGATTATGAGTAGATCAAGAGAATAGAAAAAATTTTTAATCATTGATTTTGGCTTTCTCTATGGCACCTTGGGAGGCATCAGGTTAAGCACTAAAAATGACATCCAAGAGTGGCACCATTGGCGGGGTGTTCATGGATTACACCACGATTGTTGAATTAAACTAAAATATTCCTTTGACTTTATTAGCCAGCATTTTTGGTAGAATGGAAATTGGTGGTAGGGGCTGAACCTGGGAAGCACGGGGTTTGGCGTTAGCATGGCATTAAGGTGATCGATCCCCAGACAATTAGCCTGAGTTTATAAAGTTATATAGTTATAAAGGGATGGAGAGAAATACCGTTTCCTTCTTTGAAATGAAGCAATGTGGGATAAGGAATGAAAGGGTATAATTTTGGGGTGCTTGATCTATACCATTAAAAATAGTTTCAGAGCCAAACATACTTTAGAAACGATCTCCTGGGTTTTTCAGCCAGGTCCAATTTTCTCAGTCTGATGTTTTCAGAGATCTTCCCTCTACTTCAGGGAAGAAGTTAAAGATTATTGTAGGAAGCTTGAAAATGCAGTTCCTTTAGATCCTGTGCCAGTATCCAATCATCATCTTGGAACAAAGAACATGTTAAATATCTACAGCACACACAATGGGATGGAAGAATCCCTTTGAACCGGGTCTGCCATAGAGAAAATGTCTTCATAGCAGCAAATGCAGAGCTGTGTGTGTCTAGCAGCGACTTCAGACCTCACTGGGGCGTGTGCCCTTCCACTGCAGAGCTTAGTTCTCTCCAGGGAGCTTCTTCACTCTAACGCTCTCATATACATGGTCCTGAGTGTTTTTTTGCTGTCATGAAATATTTTTGATGAGTGCCAATTAATAAATGTAGAAGGATGATGGGAGAGAAGATTGCCATTTTACAACCACCATGGTAATTAATAAGTGATGTAGGTGAGAAGGATCAGCAGATACTAAAATCAGTGAGTGAAAGATTGTTGGGGAACAGAGTATTCTCAGAGTGTCACCCCTCGGGCTACTTAATCACAAAGGTAAAAGATACCTTTACAATGGAGAACACCTTAAACAAGTGATTAAATTGAAACAATTAAACATCACCAATAGAGGAACAAATTGGTGTCACGTACCCACTGACTTGTCCCTGCCCGTCTACTTAGACAGCATTCCTGCCCACGATGTTTCACCCGAATCGAATCATGAAGATACAATTGGGTAAATCCAAAAATGAGACCTTATACTCTTAAAAAATGTAAGTCATTATAGACCAAAAAGGCTGGGGGAACTGTTTTTTTTGTTTAAAAGAGATTAAAGAGATACGACTTCTAAGTGTAGTGTGTGATCCCGATTTCATCCTGGATCAGGGAAACAGCTATAAGGACATTTATTGGATCGTTTGGGGAAATTTGCAAATGGACTATATAATAGATAATGACATTGTGTCAGTGTTCAATTTCTTGAGTGTGATAATTACGCATATGTCAGAGAATGTCTTTGTTCTTAGGAGATTCATATTGAAGTATTTATGACCCAGTACCATGATGCTTGCTACTGACTTTCAAATGGTCCATCTGTGTACATCTAAATTGTATAAAAACACATTACATAAAACATTTATTTACATATGATATGTAATAAATATGA